TTTAGTTCTTGAACTTTCGAATTACACCATAGGAACTTTGCTATCAGAAATTAAAATAAAACCGCAACAAAAACAGTAGAAATAGTTTTATTTAAAAAGTCAAATTCGTATAACTAAATCTAATAAAGTATTATTGTAATTATTAAGTTTTTTATATTGGACAGATTTTCAAAATTTAAATTTCACATTTCATACCTTTGTAACACCAAATAAAATAAAATCAAAATCGATTTAGCCTTTATGTTAGTCCGAACAAACAGTTACAAAATAGAAAACTGCACTTAAAATAGAAAACAGCAGTTAACTTAAACTCCACGACGAAATCACTTTAGATGTGATTATTCAACTTTTTAAAGTACAATTTATTTAAAATCCATTTTATATTCATGGTTCAACATTTTTAGAATTAAAAAAATAATCAAAATAATAATAATAAGTATTTATTTCAGATCAATAATCCATAGTAATTAGTTTTTTTATTTATGAATACAATTAAATTTAATGATAATTTAATAATAAAATCTAACAAATAGTTTCTCCCCGATACTTAAGGGTAGTTAAAAAAAACAAGAAGATCCCTAATTCGAAATCGGTTAAAAGCCCGTTATTCAGAATAGTGTAGCTTTCTATTGGTGAAGAAGTTTCTCCTTTTTAGAAGTCAGTTAAAAAAACGTAAAAAACTTTAGAATATAATTTTAGAGATCATGCCTTATAAAAAACAAACAAAGAAATACCGCTTTATAATCATGAAACATGACATAAATGTAACAGGAAAATAACTAAATTTAACATTAATTTAATAGCTATTAATCATAATTATAATTGTTCGGTAAATTGTCATGAAACCTATCATTACTAGACTAATCATAGTGACTCTTAAAATTAAACGTTTTCCTTCCGATCTCTACATCATAGTTTAGTTGATTGAGCTATTCTAAGTATATAATGACAAAATTAAAATGTTTGTTTGTTATTTGAGATATGTGTACTTGGTTAGTACGTTACGTAAGCTAGTAGCTCTTGGTACTTCATTAACAGCAGATCAGACCGTGGAAGCAACCCCTTGGCTGTGTGGACTGCTTCGGCAGACTTGCCGTCAGGGCTTCGTGGTTGAGTGCGTAAGCGACTCTGCGGGGCCCTATTGCGCTGAGGGAGGTTCCGTTGGTTTTTTTTTATTCAATCATTTATTTCAGGCAATATTTATAAAAATATCTTAAATATGTAAACAGATACCCATAACATATATACCTTAAAAACTAACATGTATATAAAAATTAAACGATTTAACACAAACGGACAAACGACCTCGGAGCCTACCTCGGACCTTCTAGTGGGTTTTACGTAAATCACCTGTATGTATACAGGTGGTACCCGTAAATACATTTCCTAACATAAAACAGTGGCCAGCACGTATGGTGATTCTGAGTTCGAGTTTCAAATTGAACCAAGCATAATTTTTGTTAGACTTTTCATATCAAGAAGTTTTCAGAGTTGGAAAGTTGGCGGTGTTTCACTCCCGTGCCTCCAAGAGAACGTAAAACTATACTCTTGCAAGTGACATCTCAATGGAGTGTTTATTTTTGCATATAATACTTTTGCCCTGTTGAATCTCCTGTGCAGTCATCTGCGAGAGTCTTATGTCCGATTTCATCAACATCACCTACGTATGGGATCCCTAGCTTAAAAATTCCCCTAAACTGGCCCCTAAACTAAATTGCGTTTTGCCATCGTCAGAGCCCGTATTTCTAGTACCTATATCTAGGTGGCATTTTAACATTCCCTAACTGTCGGTGAAACAGAAACTGTTCCCTAACAGCCCCCTAGCCATGCTTAGGGGATCCCTTAAACTCAGGTGACGTTGGTGAAATCGGCCATTAGTCTGTGTTAGATTTATCTCGTGACCAAAAACAATCACGAGAAGATTACGAGTAACATTATCTTGACTCGATAGTCTTATCTTTTGTGTGTATTGTTTATTTTTGTTCAACCAAATTGGTCCAATGGTTAGCTTTTTCAGCTGATCTCAAGGTGTTGAGTTCAAGTCCCGGATCGGGACAGTTATTGGTTTTTTATTAGGAACTATTCTTTAGAAGCTTGTGCTTAGAAAATAGACACGTACATGGCAAACCCGTAAAGCCATTAATTTTTGTATTATAATATCGTCCCCACATTTAATTAGCATCAAGGTCGTTTTAATTAAAACTTATCAACAGGATATGATGTATACAAAAGGCCCATCGTTATCTATACTATGTAATAAAATACATATTTGGCTCAGTTTGTAGTGACCCTACTTGTTGTGCCAGCGGTCGCGGGTTCGAGTCCCGCTGGGGGCATTCATTTGTGTGATGAGCACGAATGTTTGTACTCCAGTCATGGGTGTTTATATTTATAATATGTATGTATTTAAAGTTATATATGTGTAGTGTATCAACTATCTGGTACCCATAACAGAAGCCTCGTAGCTTACCATGGAACTAGATGGCGCTGTGTGTTAATGTCCCAACATATTTATTTATTTATTTTATTTATTTATATAGCGTTCAGCCAGGACCTTTGATTTTAGTCAATATAACCGATATGTTATTCTAAACGATGTCGTCATAAACGGTTTTAACTGTATGTAAAACGTAAGAATTTGCTTTTTGGTCATTTGAACGCGGGCGTAGCCGCGGGCAATGCTAGTTTTTTATAAATTGCTATTATAATTAATTTATGTATTGAGGTAGCGATTGGATTGACAGTTTCATCTTTTGCTTAATAATTCCATATAAAATATAAAATAAAACAGATAACAAAATCATCATTTTCTTAAAAAGAGGAATGCTAAATAAAACCACAAATTACATTTTCTAACGTTTTCTTTAATTTCGTGAACTAGAATTAAAACGTACGGAATGAATTAGCGCGGCGCGGCGCGGGCCGCTCGCGCTCGTATGTACACACTTAAGTTTATTAAATTCGAAAATTTACAATTTATTATAATATTGCACGCTGTTAGGAAAACATCGATATGGGTTCTCCGAGTAGACATACATATATATACATGTTGAATGATGTACATAAAGACAAATTTCATGTGAATATGTCTTTTGTAATAATTTTAATTATTTTTAACCAAAATAGTACATTATCTTTAATATTAAGACGAAAGATAGATATAGAAAGATAGAGGAGAATAAATTATCTATTTATTAAAAAGAATGAATATAGGACCTTCTTTGACGATATCGGGTGAATTACAAACAAAACTACCGGATTTAAATACCTCCAATCACAGTCGGTTACATGTATGAATAAAATCAAAACTGATAAGTCCAATATTGATCGAATTTCCAATATGAATTGAAAAAGACTTATTCACTTAAATCAAAGATGTGTTAGTTTTAAAAATAACTGTCAATATTTGGGGCTTAAACAAGGTGTGATTCTGAAATCGTTGTAAAATAGAAATCTCAATTCAATTAAATTTTCTTGTTGGTTTTAAAGCGTGCCAGTTCAGCACAGATTACTTCGCCAATGTCATGTAGAATTGAGAAGATTAGAAATTTAAAAATTATATGGGAATGACATTTAAAATTCTATGACAACGATTGAAGTTGTCATTTCCCTACAATTTTTAAAATTTCTATTCTAAAACGATTGTAAAATGATCTTGTCTAAACTCCCATAGTATTAGGGAGTACTCGATTATTTATTTATATATGAAATATATTATTGAATTAATATTTAAAATGTTCAAAAGCTATGGCATATTGTATGCAGAACTTCCTTGGAACTTCACAACCTATAACGATGTAACTTTTTAAAATTAATTAAAAATATATAACAAACAAAATTCAAATTGCATTCTTATATTATTACTTATTTCTATTACATTTTTTTAAATATAATTTACAGATAAAAAACTTTTATAGTAATTTGAAAGCACACATTATTTTTCTATGTACAGTATTTGTTAAACTATAAATATGGCACAAAATGTATTTACATTTAAATAATTTAACGAAGAAATAATATTTATATAATTATTATGAAATAACAAAAAACTATATTATTTTATACATTTGCTTTTTAATATTTGGTTATCAATTAAATGGAAAAAATATAACATTCTTTTTTAATAATTAAATTATATTTATATAATTCAAAATTATTTAATTTAATTAAAAAAAGAATACAATAGATACAAATATCTTATTTTAAATACTTATAAATATTTGTCCAAATTAAATAATTATTTATTTTTTATAGAAAAACCATTGCTCTATTTACAGTGTTATTGAAAATATCAAACAAAATTTATAAAACTACAATAATATTAACTCTAAAGCTAAATCTAAATGCATATATTTAACGAATAAATTAATATAATTTATTTTAAAGAAATAACGATTATTTACAATAACAGAAAAACAATAGATGAGAAACAATAATTAGTAGTTTAACACCTGCAGGTAAATTTCTAAGAAATTAATTAAAATTCTAAAAATTCTATTGTTAACTGACACGCCGGCGTGTCCGCGGTCGTGGAGGGAATATAGTGAATACATCTTTTGAATGTTATTGTGTAAAACATACAAAAATAAAAACCAATATTTCACTGTCTGGGCATCGACCTTAGTAACTACGAGTATGTTAATAGTTTTTCTAAAAAAAATACTTTTCCAGAAACAGACCTCAGAAATATTTAACTAAATAGTTATTTCGACTTAGTTGGCTTTTTTATTTTGCTATTTACATGACGGTTGTTGAGTAATATATTCAATAAAAGAAAAATTACGTATTATTTAAAAAAAAAAACAAAAATACACTCGAATTGATTGCCTTCTCTTTGCAAAAAAAAAAAACAAAAAAAGATTCATTAAGAAACTTCTTTAAAAAATAAAATATTTTTTTTTTTCAAAAGACGTATTCACCAAAAATCCTCCTCGAAACAATTAACGCCTAATTTTTTTAGGAAATTTCGTGTTAACCAAAAGTTCTCTATTGAGACGTCATTTCTTCGATATAGCCATCAACCCTTGAGTGGTGAGGGTTGAAAGTGCTATGCGATCAGGGTTCGATGCCACGTTGCGATCTTGATTTAGAGTGGTTATTGATAAACGGTTGTCATTGGTTATCAACCGTTCACTGGCTATCAACCGTTCAGAGTTTATGGGGGTGAGGGAGAGTCGGTTGTCGGTTGCGGGAGTGGTTATGGGAGTTGTGGAGCGCGGAAGGGGTTTGGTTGTGGTTTGTGTGGTGGGAGGGGAGGTTCGCAGGAGGGCTGTTGGTTTTTGGTCGCGGCCGCTGCATACCTGTAAGATAATGCTAGTTTAGTGTTTATAATAATAATTGTTATTTTACATTTTTCCTACATTTGAATGATGTATTTTTAGATTATTAAATAAATATGTATATAATTTAAAAGAATTTTACATAGGTTTTTTGTGTATGAGTACGATGGTATTCCACAATTACCAGGAAAATGTGTGTGTGGAAGTTGTCAGAGACAGTTAAGTTTTACTAAGTACTGTCTAACCAGAACAAACAGACAGTTAGACAAAAGTTTTAAAAATTGTTTTTATTGCGTTGCATTACCACCAGCATTTTATTATGCATATTTAATAAAAAGCTTTTCTGACATTCAAACATACACTTAAATTTTTGTGTATGTATGTATAGATGCATATTACTCCAGTGTAAGTCATACTTGGTGGTGGTTCTCCCAGTCCTTGTGCTGGCAGAGCGCGCCGCAGTAGCGCGCGGCGCCGCAGCCCGAGCACGTCTCCGCCGCCTTGCGCCCGCAGTTCCAGCAGCACTGCACGTATGTATATATGTAGGTACAATGTACATACAAACAAACTGATTTTAATCATATTTAGTTCGACGACCCCTTTGGCTCAGTTTGTAGTGACCCTACATGCTCCACCAGTTGTAGCGGGTTCGAGTCCCGCTGAAGGCATTCATATGTGTGATGAGCACGAATGCTTATACTCCAGTCATGGGATTATATATTTTTATAATATGTATGTATTTAAAGTTATATATCTGTAGTGTATCGTTATCCATAACACAGGCCTCCTAGCTTACCATGGAACTAGATGGCGCTGTGTGTTCTTTGTAATTTAAAAAGTTAAAATTAATTAAGGATAATAATTTTAATTAAGTTTGCTATTATTTAAAAACAAACATGGATGCTGTTTACAGCATGCTGTTTACAAAATGCTTTAGCATTCGAAACGTCGGGAACCAAAAATCAAAATAAATCCGCGAAATAATCCGAAAAGATAGTTTTATTTAAAAATGTCAAACATTCGCGTAAATCTAAGAAAGTATTACAAGAAACACATGTTAAAAAGCCGTCGTGTGCATGTCCCTAAATAGAAATTACACGAAGCATATGTAGTAATTGATACAAGTAAAAATTTCTACCTACATTAAGATATATTCACTGTGTCCGTCCGACTGACCGTCTGAGCCGCGGTCTGCCCGTGACCACGGCTGGTGCAATCCAGTCGACACGTCGGGAATAAGGTATTGTGTCATGTGTCAGTAGTGTCATTATTATACAAGATTACAGTTTGTTTTTTTTTAAATACTGCATCTCATTACTTCTCACTCATCTCCATCTAACTCAACTTACATTCTGCTGTCCCGAGGCACTGGGACTGAGGTCTCGTCCGGGGGGCGGGGAGTGTCTCCTCTCCACGATCCTGTCCATCTTGCCGCGCTCGGCCGCCAGCAGTTCCAGCGCCTTCGTCTCCGCGGCCCCAACTGCTCGTTGCAGTTCTAGAAGCGCTTGGCGTTTTACCTAGATATCATTCCAGAAGTTAAAATTGTGAAGTACATATTTTAACTTTTAGGACATCAGAGAAATATGGAACGCGTAACGATTTCTTTAAGCATGTATTACTCGTAGATACTAGGCAGATTACCTATTCCTTGTTGAAGGCAATAAATATTTTTTTCTCTCTCGATTCTTTTTGTCACTAAAAGTGAACATTTACTTGAAATTAAATCATCCATGTTTTGTGTATTTGTTACGTCTTGCTGCCTTGAGCAATCGCTATGTAAATGTGCACTCTCGTGACTTAAGGCACGGAAGAGGCAATTGCTCAGAATATGTAATACTAATATATGTTTTGTTTTCTGTTAGCGATATCGATTGTAGAAATTGAACGTTTGAAGACGCTATCTATTCAATGGAGATTAAGATACAATTAAACAAAGTACATTTTACGATATCAAGAAAACAAAATTTTCTAAAAATCAAATAAGTTTAACAAGTCACACCTGGTTCACAGCATCTTCAGCTCGTCTCCGCACCTCCGCGACACGCTCCTCGGTCTGGCGCACCGCGGCCGCCATTATCTCACTTGCAGCTCTTTTAATATCGTTACTTTCTGTTGGTTCGATTCCTGCCAAAATAAGATATAGAAACTCAAAATATCGTCATAATAAGTCTAAATCTCTTCTTATTTTACTATATTTATTTGTCTATTTTTATACAATAATGACTTTTTACTAATAAAATACAGTAGTAGTTCAAAATGACTTTAAAGTAATTATTCCATTGTTAGATAAATTGTTTTTGAAATGTACCACCCTGGTCACCCCTGAGGGTATATATGCCCTATTCATTAAAAAAAGGATTATGAATATCTTTTACAATGAGAAAGATATCTCGTAACTCCAAAATGAGTACCTTCGAGTTCTCTTCTTTTCTGATCAAAAATTTACGTCAAGAAAACCAACCTCTCTGTTGTAATATGGCGAGTGCCCGCTTGGTCTTCTCCACCATGCTCAGGATGCAGTTCAGCATCGTGTTTATGTTCTTCCACTCATCATCACTTTTCAGAAGACCAGCTGGCCGAGGTTCTGTGAATGGTGCGTTCATCGAGGAAACATCACGGACTGTGATACCACCTAAATGTGTACAGTAAAAATTACCGTTTTTAACTCATCATGAGATATCCTTTGGGACATAATCAAAAAGAACTAAGTGACTACGCTTTCCATCTATATTAAAATGGGATCCAAATCTTTTTGGACTGTTTTTGTCAGGCCAACCTCTATGATGAATATAAGTATTTGCTTCTTGCGGGATTCGAACTTGCGGCCAAAGTCGAAAGTGGTGCCGGTCAAACATTACCAGGTAGTAGGCACCTCATTACGACATTATGGTGGAATAGTTTGTAGCATATTATATACTTACTTATTTCGAAAATGATTGTTCATCCGCCATTTAGTGTTAGATCACGGTTAGATGTATCACGGTTATAGGTATATAGATGTATAATCAGTTCTTGCAAGCATAGTAGTTTGTGAAGTCATCTCATGGCATCATATCACGACATAATATTTATTACCATGACATCATACCAACAAAATTATGGAAACCTGTGGTGGACTTGTTACAGTTAAGAAGAAGTTCTTTTTAATTCTTTTTATTTCATTTTTGCTTCTATTTAATTCCTTTAAAGACGAGAAATAAAATGACGCATCCAGGACTTGTACGAGTATATTTAGTGATAGGAAGTTTAAACAAAACTAGATAACAGCCAAGGGAATTTCAATGCGCTATTAGCATGACTCGTTTGGCGGATAGTGTACAGGTAGACCTTAAAGAGGAGCATTATATTACGCATTATATCGTGTTATTTTAAATAACTAAAAATATTTTGTTATTATTCATGTCATTTTGAAATAATTTTGCCCATAACTAAGTCCACAAGATCCCTTATATTTCTGCGATTTTCTATTTGACGATTACATAAACTTTACAGCTGAAATAAATTTAGATTTAATTGGAATAGTCGGTAATCGAACCAACTACTTGTATTTCTAGCATAGAACACATTATAAAAGGGCTTAAAGAACATAAATCTGCAAAGAACTAACAGAAGACTAAAAATATATGGAAATGTGTGACAAGTGATTAAAATATCATTCACATATATTTTACCTTTTCTAATAGCAATATCTATATTAGCAACTTTTGTCTAAATTTTGTCTAATAAAGCTGTCCCAGCTTTATTCATTTGAAAAAACATACCATCACGCCTTTCGAAGCCACCATCCTGGGCGTTATGGTAGCCGTGGTAAGGGTTGTAGTCAAAAAGACTCGCGTTGCTCGGCAGCGGGTAGAACGGTGATGGGTTGAAAAGACTGGGTCTTTTCGCATGCGGTGGGTAGTCATCGTGTGAGCCGTTCGTTTGGGTGTCGTAGAAACTGTAACAATAATTATATAAATTATTAAACGAGTAATTCTTGTATATTTTATTTCGTGTATCTCAGAAACGGCTCTAACCATTTGGATCGAATTTTGCTTTTAAATAAGATTTTGCTTTCCATGTCTTTCGTGTCTTTTCTGAAAAAACGCATTTTAGTTTCAAAATATCTAATTATTGGTTGAAATATTGATGAATTGATGAAAATAATTTTATTAATACTTCTTTAGATTTACGCGAATATTTGACATTTTAAATAAAACTATCTTTTCGGGTTTCTTTTGCGGTTTTTTTTATTTTTAACGCTCACGGGAGAGGGAAAGGTGGCGATACCTGTAGATGATATTAAAAATACAAAAGGCTAAACTAGTCGGTTTGACCGAATTGGTGATTTGATTATTTTTGTCCACTTTGGTATCACCTGGATAGTTCTAAGCTATATTTGGACCCGGTAGGTGGCGCTGTGGTCGAGATTTATTTATACTTCTATTTTTTTTAATTATCCGATCAAACCATGACCAAAACAACGTCTGACGCTAGACTATAATATATAAAAGTTAATTAGATTTCCCTATTAACTAATAATTAATTTGATTTTAACTGGCATAGATAATATGAATATCTAGACGTAAGTAGTAGAGTTGCCAGTTTTAAAATAAATATTAAAGATGGCTGAATGGCTGACTACAATAATGGAGTTCAAAGTTAGTCAATTAGCGATACGAGAAGACCGATCGTTGGATCTCGATTGTTTAAAACTTTATCATCAACAAAGTTTTCACAATACAAGCTATACTCGTATTTTGAATTTAACAAGAAGACTGAAAATCGCACTTTGTGTTATGAAAATAAGTTTCAATCAATAAATAAGCTTTTATATTATTAAGATCTCACTTTCACCTTCAATTTTTCTCGTAATAATTGTATTTTTTTATATGCAACACAGAATATATATAGAGATTATGCTTTGCTCGGGAGCATCCTAGGTAGGTATCTAATATTTGTCTACTCCTGTCTAAGTATATATATACTATATAGTATGATGATGATGTTCTCCTAGCCGATTCCGGCTACGGCGGCCAATCTCGTTGAGACTAGCCAACTGCGCAGGAGATATTATAGTGCACAAGTGTACGCGCAGACACAAGTGCACTCTCTATTCCTGTCACTCTCATACTCCAGTGGGACGACGGCTCGACACGACCGGTGAGAGTTAAGGCGCAGGACCGACGGCTTTACGTGCTCTCCGAGGCACGGGGGTGAAACACCGCCAACTTCCCAACTCCGGGCTGTTACTGAGACTTACTATACAGAAAGACTCAATAACTAAACTTGGCCCGACCCGGGACTCGAACCCAGGACCTCCGAGTGTGCAGCCGTTCATGCTAGCCACTACACCACCGAGGCAGTTACCTGTATACTAAATGTCGTAAAGGAGTAATAGACATACATACACATACATACAAACTTGCATTTATAATAATGTCCTCCCGATGAATTTCGGCATCGGCGGCAATCTCATTTAGATTAGCCAACTGAACAGGAGATATTATAGTGCAGTGCGTGTGCGCAGACACAAGTGCACTCTCTATTCCTGTCACTCTCATACTCTGGTGGGACGACTGCTCGAGACAGCCAGAGAGAGTTTAGGCGCAAGACCGACGGTTTTACTTGCTTTCTGAGACACGCGAGTGAAACCCCGCCAACAAAACCAACAAAAAAAACAGAGATATTTATTATAAGGACTTGGGCCGACCGGAGACTTGAACCCTATATCCGGATCTGCGGCACATGCTAGCCACTAGTCCATCGAGGCAATTAATTTAAAATGCATTTATAATATTCGTCCAATTAATCCAATAACAGATTTGAAAGTAAGTTTTTGAATAAAGCTTTGGTAAATCAATAATAGTTGAAATAATTAAAGTTCGTAAAACCTCTATCAAACAGTCGTATCTCACACCGGCCTCTTGTTCCGATTATTATTTATTGCGAACTGCACAAACTACTGAGCGTGTGGCGCAAAGGAGAGGTTATGCTGCAGTTTATTTAGCGGAAATTGTAATACATATAAATGAGTTGTCCCAGTGGTCAAAATTTGACCATAATCGTTATTGAAAATTTGAGGAAAACATATATGAATAGAATTTACCTAACAATATATAAAAAAATTATATATAATAATATAAAAATAATAATATATAATTAAAAATTGATTCCCCATACAAACTTTCATCCCCATTTTCACCTCCTTAAGGGATGTTTTTGGGGATGAAAACTATTCCATGTCCTTCTCAGGGTCTCAAACTATCGTCCAAATTTCATCTAAATCGGTCCAGTAGTTTTGGAGCTTATTCGGTACAAACAAACAAAAAATCATTTTTCCTTTATAATATGTATTATTATTATTATAAAATAAAAAAAAGTGTTTCCTGTTTTTTTTATGATAGCACGACCTCCTTAATAGATACTAAACAAAAAAATTGGTTAATAAACAATGCATGCTGTTTTGTCACAGACATGCTATTGAAATAAACTTAGAGGTAAAGAATTGAAAAATCCCAGAATCTAATAATTAGTCTACAATTTTACACTAAATTATCTTCTGGCTATCCTTCTTTTATGTGGTATCGTTTTTATTATACTTAGTTTATATTCATTATCATTTTACAAGTACATTTAAATAGCCAATATTTTTAAACCAAATGTCAATATTTTAAGTTTATGAGTTCTGCTGAGAAATGCCGGAAAACTCAACAGTTGCCCTTTTAAAAATCACAAGTTTTTATTTTAATAAAATACTTAATTTACAATAAATAAAATTACATATATACTAAATTATATCTACAAAACATTTGTTTTAAACTTAATTATTACTGTACAAGTCATGTCCACGTGCAATAGTGGCAAGAATGCTAGCTGCATTCTCCCGCTGAATGGCAATGCCGATTCTTTGGGCGAAAATGCGCCAGCCCTCCTGTCACCAGTAGAGATGATAACATGAGGTGTTATATCTTTTAAAAAGCGCTTAGCACTTTGACTCCACTGGCCAAGGGTTCCTACAACAAATGGTACCTACAAACACATAATTTTGACCATTACTTATATTTTTTGGTAAACTACGATCAATTTAGACATTAGTACTATAGATGTTACTAAAAATATTAGTTATTGGGTAAATTATTAGTTATTTAACATTTATTACCTATAAAAGCTGGATATCCGGAGTTTTCGCTACGAACCCGCTCGTCCCATAAAGCGGCGCAACATGGAACTCAGCCAATACACGCATTGTGTTCCAATGCATTTGAAAGATGGTAATCTATACGCGGTTTTTGGACCAGATTCAATTAATTACCAACTTCGCATAAACAATGGCTTGGCTTTGTTTAGCTCCCTTTTGTATTTAACGTTGTTTTCATAGAGTATTTATTGGGAACTTTAAGTTTTATAATTGAAAGCTCTTTTCATATTGTTTGTGTGCTTCTAAAAGTTTACGATTTATCTTTAGTCAATACATAGAAATTATCATATACTAGAATTACCCGCGGCTTTGTTCGCTCTCAAACTTCCGATTATTATCAAACTTCACAGGATCACTACCTAGGGGAATTTAAAGATTGGCTAAAAATTTCATCAAAATCGCTGAAGTCGTTTTGGAGTCCAAAAGGAACATACATATATCGATTTTTATATACATATTATTTATATACATTATACATAGATAGGTAAAAAAATCAAAGTTTAAGTGAACATTTTGGAAGAATGATATTATTAAAGGCATGTTTAGAAATGTTATGTACATTTCTATTTATATGTACACTACAATGATATAGCTCTTTTAATGTCTGACGTCTGGGCAAGCCAGCCCTTAATGCGAGAGGAATCCGACTTTCTACCACGCTGGAGAAACGGCATTTTATAAGTCAGGGCCGTGCAGTGTTATGATGCAAAGAGCGGCCGCCTTAGGTAGAAAATAGAGGAAGCATTTGGAGATAACCCAGACTCTCATGTTCAACGTCAACTAGTATTTTTTCTGAATGAGACCCCATTTTTTCTTAATTTTATAGAATTGTCAAGCAATTGACAAGATATTCTCGTACCTAGATTTTAGCAATATATTACTCATATGGACGGACTGACAAATTATATGGATTACGTTTTTGCCTCTCCACTACTGAACCTGAAAATTACCAAGAGGCAGAATTTCCAAAACTATCATACCCAGAAAAGATAACTGTTGTAACTTATTATGATTTTGTACTTACAAAAGAATCGTCTACTAAAAGCTCAGGTTTTATCGATAGTTATGGTGTAGGAAATATTCGAATTTAAAAGCTGACTTTATAGAAGAGAAAGGACGAAAGTATAAATATAAATATGTTGGGGCATTAACACACAGTTCCATGGTAATTATTTATGGATACCAGATTGTTGGTTGATACACTACACATATACAACTTTAAATATATACATTATATATATTATAAATTACGTTTTCACGTTTAGTATCGATTTCTCAGAGTTGAGATATTTTCTTACAGTAAAAAGTATCCTATATGTTGACCCGTATAACCAGCTATCATCATACCAAACTTCATCAAAATCCCCCCAGTGATTTTTCCGTGATACGGTAACAGACAGAAAGACAGACAGACAGACAAAAATTCTAAAAATTATAGATTCGACCTCTGTATCGATAATAATGTCTATTTCCAATTTTCCAAAAAAATATTTAATCTACAGATTCGGCTTAGTTACAATTTTATTATATGTATCGACTATTTTATAAATATATGGAGAGTGGTACTAATATCTAAAAATCTTTTCTACAGGGTATTTTTTTATTAAGAATAAATCTAACAGCTTTATCGGGAATCAAATGTCATTAATTTGATAAACACGTAATTTACACATGAAACAGCAAAAGTTAAATTACATTCAACTTCAGCATCGAGAGCGTCGAGTGTCGCCACTCGCCATACGATGCGTCATTTGATAGCAGTTGAAAAGTAATCATCGCATAGCCCTAAACTTTACCTTAGACGATAATTATCGTTTTACTTCAAAATATATAGCTTGTGTACTTAAATAATGCTAAATGCTTATAAAGCTCGTTTCGTTTGGTTCAGTTTCTAGTGACCCTACTTGCTGTGCCAGCGGTCGCGGGTTCGAGTCCCACTGGAAGCATTCGTTAGTGTGACGGACACGAATGTTTGTGCTACAGTCATGGATGTTATTTATATTTATAATATATATGTATTTAAAATTATATATATGTAGTGTATCAACTATCTGGTATCCATAACACAAGCTTCGTAGCTTACCATGGAACTAGATGGTGCTGTGTGTTAATGTCCCAACATATAAAAAAAATATATTGAATGTACAGATTCGGCTTAGTTACAATTTTATTATATGTATAGATTTTAAACACAAAGGATATCCGGAGACCGTATATAAGGAATGCGAGGCGAGGGTGAGTCACTAGTCTCATAATATGTAAAGAAAACATTAATATGCCGTTCGTAAATGAGCAACATAGAAACGAGTAAAAGCACTGCTATGTTAGAGGTTAAATTTAAAGCCCTACAAGTAATGGTTTAAAGCGTGCAATGTTAATTTAGCCAAAGTTATTAGCATGGTGGGTACCCGCGTGCCAAATTTTGTACACACGGGCACGACTCTAATAACCCTAGCTCATTGTCAACGAATGCGCATTAGTGCACCCTGCCAAATTGCGTAACTCATTGAAGGCAAGCCACGTGAACAACTTATGGGTGTGTCAAAATAAGAGATTGTCATTGGTTAGATGTTGTTCAGGTGGTGGTAGCCCAGTGTTCACGCGCTGGCCTGGAAAAACAAGTGATGGGGGTTCAAATCCGGGTCTAGTTTATTGTCTATTATTATATGAACAATGAACACATTGGCTTATTATAAAAATTAAAAGGTACTACATACATGTATATTCTAACCAATATAAAGGTTTTCTTTCGAAAATCGAACCAATGAACTTCTAAACAGCCTTTCACTCCACCAAACGATCATTGGGAAATTTTAAACTATTATTAAGTATATAATGCCCTCAGGACAATGCGCGAACAAATACCATTACTGACCCTTGCCAAATAGTGCTATATTTCACTACTAGGCAAAACCGTATTTTGCTATTACGCCATATTTAAACATATCAGGCCGTCAGTCAAAAAATTCTGAGATAAAGATTGTAAGTTTGTGTCTAGGGGGCAATCTCGGAAAGTACTGATCCGATTTTGAAAATTCTTTATTATCGTCGAACCTACATATAGATCTACAGAAAAAGCCTTTATGAGAATCATTCATGAGTCGTTATGCTCACCTGTATGTCTCATACACGCTACTTCCTCTAAATCTATTGGATGGAAAATATCGATTTTTCAGATATTTTATTAGTAATTAAAGAGATCCAATCCATAAAGTAATGAATTCTAATTTTAGGACGTGCTATTACATTTATACTATTAGTCGATAAATAAGCATATAGTTCTCATAATCTTCGAAATGGAACCCCATCAGAAGCACACAGTTCCCGATCTCACCGCAAAAACTGTATCAACCAAATCTGTACATGACATGAGCCGGCTATTCGTCTACTGGCTAGCGAAGGTATATTATTAGAAACTATACTTTTTTTAGGAACAGTACACTTTTCCGGTATAAAAAGAAGCCTATGTGCGTGCTATTCTGCCGTCATAATAAAGAAGGCCATAAATAACAATTTGGTCAAAAATGACTTAAATGCAGATTCGGAATCAGCAAAAAAATGCTACTTGATTGGTAGTCTTACGCATAAAGCTCTAAGTCTTGTGAAACCGGAGATACCATAACCATTTTTATCGAAACTACGTCAAAACTACTACTAATTACTAAGACAATTTGAATATCTCAAAATCAACTTTGACGAAGTTGCGGCCTTCTTTTTTATGACGGCAGTATTCCAGACTATAATCTATCTCCGCACCAAATTTCATCCAGATCAGTTCAACTGTTCTGGCGCGATTGAGTAACAAACATCCATCCAAACATCTAAACTTTCACATTTATAATATTAGTAAGATAAAGATTTCAATTGAATTTCCTTCTTAATGGCTTCAAAACGTGCCAATTGAGCACAGACACTTCGCCAATTTGACATGAGGGAAATCGATTGGTATAGAAAGATTTTACTGTCCCGTTTATAGAACATACAAGCAGAATACCCATTTTAATTAGTCTTTTGTGGTGCTATGACCAATATTAAGTTATTTGTCAAAAAACAGATATTTGGTATTTTCGACACTTGAAAAATGACATTAATTTAGTAAAAATAGTTATAATTCAACATCTGCAAATAGCAATTAAACATCAGAATAATTTAAAAATATGTAGATAGTATTTTTAATTATGTCAAAAAAAAACGAATTATCGAAACTCAATTAACTTTCTGCCTCCAACATCAGTGGTATCAGTCAGGAAAAATAAAACAAATAATTTTTCTTTAACCGCTACTCATTTTGATTTCACAGGATGTGATGGTCTATATACATCTTCTTCTTTCGACGACACGTTTGGCTCAGTTTATAGCGACCCTACTTGTCTGGGGGCATTCATTTGTGTGATGAGCACGATTGTTTCCAGTCATGGGTGTTTATATTTATAATATGTATGTATTTAAAGTTATATATGTGTAGTGTATCAACTATCTGGTATCCATAACACAGGCCTCGTAGCTTACGATGGAACTAGATGGTGCTGTGTCCCAAATATATTGAAAAAAATATTATATCTTTCGTGTAGAGTGACATTAGAGCATGTGCCTTATATCTTGATATACGGTTAGCAGCATGAGGCGAATAGCCTGTCCGCGACACTCACCTGCTGCTGACGATTATTGGTGGCTATATGATTTTTGCTAAAATAGAACTAGATTTATATGTTAGGTATATCTATATATCTATCTACGTATATATGTATGTAAATCTATACTAGAATATTATAAAAAGGTAAAGTTTGTAAGTTTGTGAGGTTGTAGAGGGTAATCTTTGGATCTACTGAACCGATTTAGATGAAATTTGGTAAGAAGATGTTTGAGACTTTGGGAAGGATATAGGATAAACTTTCCCTTGAAAGAGAGATAGCATAATATCAACGTTTCGAAAGCTTTACAGCAATCATGGTCACGGGAGAGACTAAGGTTTAAGGTTTTTCAAAGGCTTTATATAGTTGTTAGTTGTGACAGACGCGAGAACCAAAAATCAAAATAAATCAACAAAATAATACGAAAAGATAGTTTTATTTAAAGGTAGGTTATAGGTACGTTTTAAATAGTGATTAGCCAGCGTTAGCCATACCTATAAATTTTAACTTTTTTTATTGGTTAATATTTCTTACATATATTTTAATACTTATTATCATCCTATTCGGGACTAAGAGAAATCCAAAAAATCAAATCTCATAAAAATTGGTCCAGCCGTTCTTGAGTTATAAATGGTGTAACTAACACGACTTTGTTTTATAGGTATATTTACCTTATTTTATATTTTTTCTCCTTATTAAAACTTTGAAAAAAAATTTGCTGAATTATTGAAATCGACAATATTATTGATACAGAGGCCGAATATATAGTTTTTAGAATTTTTATCTGTCTGTCTGTGAACCGCATCACGAGAAAATCACTAGACAGATCTTGATATAACTTGGTATGATGATAGCTGGTTATCCGGGTCGACATATATGATACTTTTTACTGCGGGAAAATATCTCAAAAAATATATAAAAAATATAATATTAGATCAAAGTAAAAAAATATATATCGGCATAAGTTGATCCCAACATGCAAATCTACTTACGGATCGCTAGCCCGCCTTTTGGTGGCCGTCTCGTTCCCGGCGGTCTGTTGCGGTGCGAAGATATCACTGCTGTCACCTCCTGACTCCAGGATCAGATGCTCATGCGACCTGATGTATTGGAGAGGAGTCTGGGAACAAAGAGCTTAAATAAGACATAAATTATTATTAATATATATTAGACCGTTAGAACAAATATGGGTTAAACAACATTTTTAAAGTTATTAAAAAATATTCGTTTATTGTTTAATTATAAATAAAACTATCTTTTCGGATTGTTTTCGGGATTTATGTTGATCCATGGTTTTGACTGAAAGAGACGATAAAAATAGCTAACGGATTTTATTATAAAAGAGAAAAAAGCTAATATTATGCTATCTCTCTTTCAAGGGAAAGAGAACTAATGCTTCAAATATACAAAAAAATATAGTATTATTTTTAATATTTATGTTTTATTCTCAAAATATTAATTTTACCACCTAATACATATATAAAAGTTCCCTTATTCTGTAAAGAAAGTAAACGATCTGTATGACAAAATCAAGAATATCAGCATAAACAGCAAATCACGCTGCTATTTTTCAATTTGACATTTATATTGGCAGACTCCGTCAATATAACTTTTTAGTCTGAGATTAAAACATACAAATACCGAACATTAGTAAAGGAACGATTACAATTAGATAATCTTCTTATATCTGTCTCACCTGTTTCACTCTCCGCGCTCTCGCGTGCAGGTCCCTTTGTGCCAACGGCAGCAAAGCCCGCAAAAAGCCGGGCACAGACGCTCGCAGAGGGTAGTTAGTGCACTCTTGTACACCTGTCTGAAAGTCTTCGATATTCATGACTCCAGCCTATGAAAAGAAATGTGAATAGAATAATTAATTTTACTTACAATACCCAAAATCCATTAAAATGCGATTTTCTACCTCAAAGGGTGGAATATTTTTATTATTATATTACGTGGTTCCTTTGAAGTTTAACCGATCAAGTAATATCGATTCATATTAGTTAAGATGTTTAATATATTAATAAAAATTACGACCTAAAAAAGAGAAGAGAAAGAAAGCAAAAAAAAACATACCCTCTCCCTTTCTTGGTGACTTTTCGCTAAAAAACAAATTAAATGTGCACGATCACTTCTTCTATGAGAAAAAATACTGCTGACTAGTGCTTTAGCTATTTTTTACTTTGCTTCAATTGTTTACTATTGAGTAAATTGAAAACAAATAAAATAAGTAATAATTAAAATATTTAATTCCTTTCTTATTTTATAAAAAAGCTAAAATTAAACCAAATATCAAGAATTTAAGCCATACTTACAACAAGGTTGAAAATTAACTGTCGCACTCTGTCACCGGTTTCAGTGCCGATGTCTGAAGCGAACTGTTGAAGGGCGGAGAGGAAACGCCTCAAGCGTTGCAGCGCTGGAGCTGACCGAGACCCTTCTGGGAGCGGTGGTGACAGAGACTCGGTGGACGATAAGGTTGCTGATACACAAAAAAATACTATATTAATACTAGCAACTTACCCTCGCTTGGGATGTTCCTAGATACCTAACAGTTACTCCAAGTATATAGTCTTATCTTTCTGCTAAATTTCATCCAAATCCGTCCAGCCCTTTAAGCATGAATGAGTCATACACATAAAACTTTTCGCATGTATGATAGTAGTCCAATTACAAATATGTGTCTATTTTCTGTTGTTAGCCTTTTCTCCGTCAAAATGAAAATGATTTCGACGTGACGGAACAAATGGATGTGATTTCGTCACCTTGCGAGTTATGTTACAGGGCCAAAAATTGGTAGATAAAGACTTAAAAACCTCAATGTTTTTTGTTAATAATTTTGGTGTTAATTATTAAATTATGACTTTTGTAATGATGATTATTATATACCATATTGATCGAGTAATTGACATTTTTACAACCCAAAAGTCTTGGATTCAAATCCTGATCAGATCAAATAGAAGGAGATGGAATTACATCTATTACATACCAGTAGTTCCATTATTCTGTGGGCTTGGAGGATTTGGTGTTGGAGACGACCTGGCCTCCTCTTGCTCCGGAGATCGTCTCTCTTTACCAGATGTGGTAGCTGCAACAAATAATAATACTTAGTACATAAAATATATTTATGTCTAAATTACCAAAAAATGCTATAAAACTACTGCTTTTAGTTTGTTTTTATTTTAAGAGACTAAAATTTTGAATTATTAATATGGACAAATATGTATTAAATAGATTCATGAGCACTTTTATCAATTTAAAATTTACAATCTGTGTAGTAAGTCTAACTCTAAATTTAACGGAATTGAAAGATTTCACAGAAGTGGTTTTAATAAAAGGATGCATTTCCTTTTCTTTTTCTTTTAATTTAATAGAACAAAAGTGCCTTTTAATACTTTCAACAACAAATTCAAAATTTAATTTATCCATAAATTATTATACCGACAACCGACAGTTTTATGGCCCGCGCCAAGCACGGCCTGAACAAACGCGGCACGTGACGACGCATGCCTACCGCTATTTATACCGGACCGCGGGAGTTTCAGGACATTGGGGTAAATCGGTTTTAATATCGGAAAGTGCGGTTAGAGCTTAGAAATTCTATGCGATAGATACTTGTGGATGTAGAATGCGATTTAATGTGTATAACGTGGACTGTGGAACTGAAACATTGAAGAAAGCTTTTATACAACTGTTTGTTTTATAGTGGAACATCAGTTGTGTTAGAATGAAGCTTAATTAACATAAAGCTAGAGGTCACATTTTTTTAAATAACTAGGTCAGTGAATAACATTGATTACAAGTAATAAATAAAAAATTAAAAAAAAACCGACCATTAGGACCGATTTCATCAAACATAGCTAACAACACTCTCGGCTAATTCACATTTAAACAAAAAAAGCAAAATCGGTTTATCCGTTCGGGAGCTACGATGCCACAGACAGACACACACACAGACACGTCAAACTTATAACACTCCGTCATTTTTGCATCGGGGGCTAAAAATGAGACACTTCTACACTTCATCGTATAGTAACAAAATTTTATTTCTTTGTAATAAACAAATATTTCTAAAGAAAATCATTAGTGTAAACCAAAATTTTTCTTTATTTTTATATATTTTTTATTTACATAATTTAATTGATTCCATTATTATCTTCTAAGCAATATTAATTTCACATATCATATACATTTCACATATCATATCATACACTCGATCATCCTTGATATACTATTTATTTCGCAATCCTCTCTGGACACAAATATTATGTTTAGGCTATTTTATGTATATTTTGTATTTTTATTCACTCCATGTTTACTTATAAGTGGAAACTTCATTGGCTTTACTTATTTACTTATTTACATATACCTATCTGTATTATAAAAACTGTTAGTTTCCCAAGTAATAATAAAAAAATATATGAAAATGAAAAAGTTACATTGGTTTTTTCATTACTATGGATTTATATTATATGTATACATAAATCTAGTGTCTTATAATCTATAAATCTCTTCATTCCCTTTTTTTCACTCTAAAGTATTATATAGTTGTTACAGACAGCCTACCTACATTTAACAAAATGAATTAAAAAAATTGAAAAATGACACCAAAGTACCTTACAATGTTTTTTAACTTTAAACCTTTTTATAATTTTAATTAGTTTTATAATTGAATATGGAATATTATTTATTTAATTTGAGCTGTTTTTATTATAATTATTACAATTATAAAAAAATTAATTAGTAATCTATATTTTTAGTGTTGCCATTATTATATTTATAACCCTGAAGAAAAAAAATCATAAAATATTAATTATAATTTAAGCCACATAATTGATCTATGTGTAATTTGAAAAAGTTAAAATTAATTAAAAATAATAATTTAAATTTGCTATTATTTAAAAATACCAAATTATTAAGCAACACATTAATACGTACATTTACGATTAAAAAAAATGAAAAATATTAATTTAAAATGCTGTCACTGAACACCTCAGTCTCTCCCGTGACCATGATTGCTGTAAAGCATTCGAAGCGTCGGGAACCAAAAATCTAAATAAATTCGCGAAAAAATCCGAAAAGATAGTTTTATTTAAAATGTCAATTATTCGCGTAAATCTAAGAAAGTATAAACTATTTCACTCACTCACTTTTTATATCATGAGATTTAAAAAAATATTTTAGTTTTTTTTTTCTTTTAATTTTCTTCTATACAAAAATTGTTTTGACAATAACAAACACACAAAAAAAAGAATTATCCAATTTGGTGCAGTCGATCGGAAGCTATGCGCGTACATACATTTCGGTGATTCATTTTTATTTATATAATGTGCTACAATTTATTGTGCTATTACTAAATAATCATTTTAAGGCAGAAATTAACACAAGGATATTCTTAGTTAAGTCGAGTTTAAGTGCCGATTTTTCATTTCCAACATTAAAAAAAAAGATATTCTTAGTTTAATTTAAGTACATTCTATTAAATACATTTAAATAGATTCAACTTTGTGTACGTTTAGGTATGACTGATGGCTCACTGAATAAATATTTTTTATGACAGTTTTAATAATTTATTACTTTCACGCGATGACGTTGTGGGTAGGTACATCTACTAAATTAAAGTACCTATATAATAATAAATAATATAAACTATGAGTATATTCCATTCCAAAATCACTCAAAAGCACTAGCGTAAAGGAGTTACATACACACAAACACAAACTTTCACTTATTTAATAAGAAACTTTTCAAATATTTTTTTTTGTAAACAAAAATGTTTTATCTCAAATGTTAAATATTCGCGTATATCTAAGAAAGTATGAAATTATACTATTGCTATTAAAATGTTTAGGCCCGCTGAGTTTCTTTCGCCAGTTCTTCTCAAGTCTGAGGCTTCTTCTTTCCGAACTGGTAGTAGACTCATGACGCTCAGTAAAAAAATGTAATATTATAATACTGAATAAAATATTTACAATTTGAATTTGAGTGGGTAAAGCAGCCGCCAGTCTCGTGGCCCCACACTAAATCGAACGGCCTCTGTAAACGCTGTGATGAGTTACGTGAGAACGAATAGCCGACCTGTTTATTATATTTTCAAAATGAGACGACAAATGCAATTTATGCATGAATTTTTCAATTAATTTGTAAGAACACTGAATTTCAGAAAGTACTTTACGTTATAAATTAAACATACTTAGTCGAAAATATTATATTTTTAACACTCTGTAAAAGTTGGAACTAAATCTTAAGCGTCGTTTCCATTAATAATTGTGAAATATTAATATTTACAAATTAAAATAAATAGGTAATCGAAGAGCATGACCCATTCTACGAGTTTTATTTTTTGCACTCTGGATGATTGAATGTTCCACCCAAAAATGCGTTGTATATTTTTTTTACTAACTCAGCTGTCGAATAGTTTATGCTTGCTTTTGATTCAAAAATATTTTTTTGCGTATATTTTGTGCACCTATCTATTATGTAGGTACCAGGTAGGTCAGGCAAGTAGTCAACTACCACCTAATTATCTATCCAATAATATACCAAATACCATTAGCGAAATATCTGTCTGTTCGTTTGTGCGCGCTAATCTTAGAAACGATTCAACCGATTTGGGTGCGCTTTTCACTAATGTATTGTAGTATTCTTCTCTAACAGTTAGTAATTGTTTTATTTCAATTGCTTTATAAATAAATAAGTTATGTCAATTTAAATCAGCTAGGGACAACTGCGCGAAGCCAGGGTGATTCGCCAGTAACTTAATAAAAAGCTTAAAAATACTTTTAAAAACTTTTTAACAAAAAGTAAAAGCCGACTTCCAGGCACTGAAAGGTAAAAAATAACTAAACGGAGCTTTTCAATTAGAATAGATACCTAAATCCTAATCAGATATTTTCGAAGTCGGTGCCAGCCGATGCAAAGCAAATCTAATATATTTCGATACGTAAAATACATATTTACCTATTAGATATTTATATCTTAAAATATTGTAGGTGTACCGACCCTTTGAACCAAAAAAAAAATCGATATCGGTTCAGGCGTCTTCGAGTAATCGGTGAACATACATAAAAAAAAGATTCCGACCAATTGAGAACCTTCTACTTTTTGGAATTGGAAGTCGGTTAAAAACCATATACGTAACGGAAAAAGCGGTACAACTTTTAAGTATAATATTATAAAACAAAACATCAAACAATATATAGAGGAAAATCACGCAAAATTCGCTATTATAATAGAAAAAGTGTGCGAGTGACAGAATAAATAAAAGTTCGGTGCTAGCGGTGCGCCGAGTGTACCCGCGTGTACGCGACAGCTGCGCGGTAGGGATGGACAGTTATCGATAAAACTACTCGATTAAAATAATGCTATTTTTTTATTTTTGTCTATTTTTTAGTGCTCATTCTGTGCATAATATCGTGGTCATTTACAATAATAGATGACGTTTTCTACATTATTTATGCAAATACAAATAAAAACAAGATTTTAATGACAAACTATGTACTTGGTTATTTTTCGTTAAAAAATGTATAATTTTAAAAACGATGTCTGAATCATTAATTTTGAAAATGTTTAAAAGGAGATATTATGGTATGCTGATAAAAAAACACCTTTGAGAACTAATGTCCTGTCACCAGTAGTATCAAATTATTCTCCCACCGGAAAATTCCTTTGAGAGTGAAAAGAATAGATTGTGGATTGTGCGTACACTTGTGCGTTATCATATTTCTTGCATAGTTGGCTAGTTTCAGTGAAAAAATGTTCTTAGCAGAAAAATCGCTTACATTTTTGGCCAGACTCGAATCCAAGACCTTATGAGTAGCAGCCGTGCAATAGCTACTACTTCATTGAGACCAAAACAGATCACCCAAACGATACGTTAATTTTGATATACTCACAATATTTTGAGCGATGAGTTTTTTTGTATCGTTTTATTTTTTGTGTACACCCTATATGTTGATATTAAGATTTATCTCAGCATCTCAATTGTTTTCTTAATCCATATCCATATTAATATTATAAATGTGAAATTGTGTTTGTTTGTCCTTCTTTCATGTCGAAACAGAGTGGCGGACTGGAAGATTTATTGTA